TCTGCTTAGTGCTTACCTTCTTTTTTCCCGATCAGGGTGGGAGTGCTTTAAGACCACAAAGTTGCCCCTGCACCATCCACAATTTTAGTCACAGCAAGCCTTTTGCCAATAAGATCCCTCAATTCAATTTCACCAGGAAACCTTTGCTGCGCCAACTTTGAAAACACCTAAATTGTTCAATAAATACAGACAGGTGATCAGCAACAACATACATTCGAGAAGCATGTAAAACTAATAGCCAACATGGAACTCTTTTGCACAAGGAAGAATTAGAAACACACTGATCCAAAGGAAGACTACCAAAATTTGCTCACTACAGCTTATAGAAATCAACAATCAACTCTGGAAAGTAAAAATCAAATTTAACCAGCAAATTTCAATTTTATTTGATGAATTCTATTTTGATCAGTAAAGATAATAATCAGCAAACAGCATGAATCAAATTACACAAGAAGCAGTTGAGTTCAGGGATAATAGTTGAACAGAACAATGACTAAGACAGAAGATTCAGGTTCACTAAGATAAAACAATTGTAGCTCATCAAATCACAATATAGTGAAAGAATTCAACAGATTCAAAGAAAATTTCACAAAAATATGAAAGTTAATCAAAATATGGTGCAACCTCTCGTCATAAAATTGGGAAAAGTATATATAAAAAATAAAAATAAAAAATTAATAACAAAAGTAGACAACCAAACAACTTACCGGTTCTCCGTCAAAATATACTTCAAAAGCACCAGAGCTTTGTAGGTAAGACTGAATAAAATTCCCAAATAGCCAGGTTGCAGAAATCGTTCCAAATCTATTAGCACGTAATGTGTAAAACCATGGAGGTGGAGTCATTCCCAATCTAGGAAAAATCTGATCACCTGCCATTATAATGGCAAATACTCCAACTTGAGCAACGGGAACTAATTTGCTCAGGATACGTTTTGGAGGTGGTGGAGGATAATTTGCAAGAGCAACATTAATTCCAGGAAACTGAGTCTCCAGCATATTCTTCATTGCCACAGCAGTGCCCCTGATGCAGTCAAATAACTTGATCTCAGAAAATTTCTTAAGTCCAAAAGGCAGAAACGCTAACACAAAACAGCTCTACAATTAAAAACACACAAGGAGGAGCAGCTAATGATGTTCAATAAAGCTTCAAGAGTGGATTCTTGAGCCTACAAGAAATGCAACACAAAACAGTTCTATGGTTTTTACTATCTTGTTCCCATGTATACCACATGAGTAGCTAATATCCATGAAGTCCTTGTAACATTTTGAAAGGGATTATGTAAAACATCAAACACATTCTGCTATTCAAACTAGTAGATACCACTAATGACTGCAGTAGCACAGTCCTTTTCTGGCAGTCAGCTTATTGCAAAGTATATAAAATTTATCCTCTAAAATTAACAAATCTGTTACAAGATCAGTAGCGGAGCCAGAATAGCATCCAAGATATTCTAATCCTTTAATAAAGTCAGCTTTTAAAAAACTCACTTATCATAGGAAGTCCCGGGGGGGGGGGGGGGGGGGGGGGGCAATAAGCTCGCACCAGCACGCCTCCCCCCCCCCAAAAAAAAAAAAAAAACAAAAAAAAAACAGACACAGACGCATACGTGCACACACACACACTCCTAGTAACTAGAAAATTACAAAGAATTGTAATCAAAAGCCAAAATAAAATCAATTGGAAGATCAAAACAGGAAACGGTTTCTAAAATATATATATCATCCAAAGAACTATGCAGTAGACTTTAAGAAAATGTAACCAAACCACCATATAAAAGGTTTTACGCAGTGGCCGTGGGAATGAGGAAATTTAAAAGGAAGGGGAAAAGAAATAGAATAGAGTTCAACTTTCCCTTTCCCATAGCTGGATATGACATGGCTGAAAGAAGCAAAAAGGGAAAATGGTGTGATCCATTTTCTTTCCCCTTTAACCAAATAAAATGCTTTCAGACTAGGAAAGATTTGGAAGTAATAAAAAAAAAACTCTCCTTCCCCTTCCCTCCATTTTTCTTTATAATTGCTACATCAAAAACAAAAACAGGGAAGAGAAAGCAATCACTAGTATCAAGGTAAATTGAGGGTTTAGTTTTGGCTGTTTAGATGGTATAGCAATTGACATTTGATTTCCAAATAATTTTTCTGGCTCAAGGAAGCTACCGTAGGTCTATAGGCAAGGTCATATCACAAATCCATAACCTAAAGCATTGGCACATACCTTTTCCAAGACTTCAAACGTGTCTATAGTCATATGAACTTATTTTGATACTTTTACTCTTCTATTCATAGTTTCTATCTCTTTCGGACTTCTTCTTAGCATCAAAAATACCACTGAGGTTCAATCTAGTTATGCTAACTATATCTTATTGGCAAAGAGGGGTTGTAGACAAAAATTGTCTTGGTGTATAGGATACTCTTGTCCAGCGGTGCACTTGTACGGAAAGAAATTAAAGGATTTTAAAAGTTTAGTATGCTTCTATCTAGAGTCCAAACTTTTTTTTTTTTTATATCCCTATTACTTAGGCCATTGTATAGAAGGAGTTAAGTTAGAATTTAAGGGACACTTTAACTTTTTAAGTTTGTCAAAAAAAATGTTATTGTACCTGGTATCTTGCGTGCATAGTAATTTAGTATGGCCTTATCCCACCTAGATCATCAACACCCAAAAATTTTATTTGTAAGAGAAAGTAATCAATTAAGTTCAAAATTATGGATAGGAATTTTCAATTACACCCAAAGTAGTGAGATTTGAATGAATTTAGAGCTTTTGAAGGTTGATATTAAAAATTAACATATAATTTGCGATAAAAAAAAATGACATTGAAGCAAATAGATTCAAGCCAGCAATAAATATCTTGCACACATGGATTTTTTTTATTAGCTAGGACGTCCCAAATTAATGTTCGATTCATTCTAAATTAATGCTTAAAATGATCACCCACCCACCCAAAAAAAAAAAAAAAAAATTTACAAATCAAGTTTATCTCTAGTGATATTTGCTTGTAGCTGATTCACTCTTCTTTCTACAATGTCTTCAAACAGATTATGAAACCCAATATCCAACAAAAGAAAAGATAGTAGAGCATACGAGCAGTTGCAACTTGCAAACCTCAACTTAAAGCTACCACTAAAAAAATCACAAGATTAAACTAATCATATTCAATTACATACAAAAACATATCCTAATATCAGAATATGAATTCATCTTTAGGGTTTGTTCTCTTCAGATTATTTTCAGTTCAGTTCAGTTCTTAATTTCCTTCTCTCATAAAATGTTCGGTTAATCAGAACAGGCCCTTAGTTGCAGCTAAATGAAGCAAATTTTTAATATCTGTCCACATCATAACATGCCTAATTTTGCTTACATAACAGTTAAGTTGCTCTCTTGTTACACAAGGACTCCACCCACACTAGAAACACACAACTTTGCGGAAAATAATTCATTGCTCCAATTTCTTGAGTTGTGGAGCCTGTACTTATACTTCAATTTGTTGAGGAGTCTAAATGTTGAGTTTGATCTAAAGAATAAAGTAGATATGAATGCTTGCAAACAGAAGTCAAAGAAAGATGCAATCAAATCACTAATGATTTGTAAGGTAAGAAAATTGCTCGCATCAAGAACACTGCTACAATTGGTATTTTTATAACAGATGGAGTGCTTATTCATAAGGTAATTAGTTTTCCAGACACAGAATACTCACAATCTGATAGGGTAAGATGAGGTACATCCGCTTTAAGAAGAGGTAAATGTAATAGGGTATCACTTAACCCTCAGTCCTCACTGAACTCTCATGTAATAGGTACACACCAAAATCTGAGTACCTAATACATCACGAAGAACAAGAAAAGTTTCCCGACCCCAAACATTATTCACACTCAAATAATTAATACTAAACGTCTCTGATCATCTCCAACACCAATGAATTTGGTTCCACAGAATAGCAGATGCTGTGGTAGTGTGGTGTATCCAAACACTGCATTAATTAAGAAGAATCAAGCGACAACTATACCATCACAAGTTGCAAAAACCCTACGAATCTCAATCCGAATCACAAGTTTCGGGAAAGTACACTTCCTTGAATCAGATGAGCGATTTCCTAACATTATAAATCACCTATAAATCTATAGTAATCACCTAAGTTTCACAGTAAGAAAATTCATCCCAAACTCACGGTATGTCCATGCCCGTCTTCCTCCTCCAACCTCTACAAACATTCCTAATTACAACTGAAATTCACTGCCAAATGCAAACATCTAACATTATAATATCGAAAACCCAAATAAAATCTAGCTCTATAATCAATCATAAACAAAATTGACTAAGCACTCTCAAAATTCAGAGCCTTAATCCAAAATTACATCAAATTTTTAAATCTCAAATAAATCAAAAAAACGTAGGAAAAGAGGATTAATTACTTGTAAGAGCAAGAGGAGCAGAAATCGATAGTGACAGTATGTCCATAACCCAGAGCATTCGATTGCTGCAACAAATAAACATATATCAGCAATCAAACAAATTGAATAAAAATTCTAACAAAATCACCAATGAAAATCAAACCTGAGATGGGAAATCTAGGGTTTGTTGAATTGGGGAAGAGGGTTTAACAATATGTTGTTGATGATGGTGATGATGATGATGAGAAGAGGGTTTTGGAGGAGGAGAAGAGATAAAGAGGTTGAAGATATCAGTGGAAAACAAGAACAGAGGAAGTCCGACTAGAAGAAGCTGAATTCGATCCATTATCGCCTGAATATTGCGATAACAAAGAAGGAGATGAAGAATTGGGTTTTGAGACTCTCGTACTAATTTCTATGTTTATAAATGGTCAACTCTCTTAAACGGCTCGAACAGGGTGATTGGTTGACAAATCGTGGCGATCGATGTGTGTTCGCCACTTCGCTAGCAACTGTAACTCGACTCAAGTTGACTTGATCTCGGCCCAAGATCTTATTGAGTTAAGGCGTTAAGCTTTAAAGAATATTTTGGTTACCTTTTCCCATTCATTCAATAGTAATATTTACATCAGAGTTTACATAACCGTAGGCTATAAATTAGGGAAGGATAATTACAGTTAACAAATATACAATAACACAATATATCTATAATATATTTAACACATCCCTTAGTCGAAGCGGGAGGTAGTCGGACGCTGATACTGTCTCTGAAATCTTTAAATAATACTAGCGGAAGGCCCTTAGTAAATATATTCGTAATCTGATATCTGGAAGGTACATGAAGAACACGGACCTGACCCTGAGCAACCTTTTCGCGAACAAAATGGATATCCAACTCTATATGTTTCGTACGCTGATATTTCACTGGATTACCCGACAAATATATAGCACTGACATTGTCACAATACACAAGAGTAGCCTTTTTAATCGGACAATGTAACTCTAATAACAAGTTTCGGAGCCAACACGATTCAGAGACGACATTTTCCACCCCTCTATATTCAGCCTCGGCGCTGGACGTAGATAATGTGGGTTGGCGCTTTGACGACCAAGAAACCAAGTTGTCACCCAAGAAAACACAATAACCAGAAGTAGAGCGCCTCGTGTCAGGGCACCCTCCCCAATCTACATCTGTATATGATACCAGAGAGGAAAAAGAAGAAGGATACAAATGAAGACCATAGTCCAAAGTACCCTGAATATACCGAATAACACGTTTGAGAGCAGCCATATGAGCAACTCTCGGATCGTGCATATGAAGACACACCTGTTGGACAGCATAAGATATGTCCGGCCTGGTAAAGGTAAGATATTGCAGAGCCCCTGCAAGGCGCCTATACAAAGTAGGATCATCAACTGTAGTACTAAAGGTAACACTAACCTTTGATTTAGTATCAACAGGTGTAGGTGACGGTTTACAAGATGACATGCCTGCTCGGTCAATGATTTCCTCTGCATATTTTCGCTGAGAAAGGAACATACCACCCTTATGCCGAGTCACAGCAATACCAAGAAAATAATTCTGAGGGCCAAGATCCTTCATAGCAAATTCAGAGCTAAGACGATCCATTATAGAACGTCGCAGAGCATCAGAGGAAGCTGTGAGTATAATGTCATCAACATATAATAAAAGATAAGCCATCTGAGATCCTTTGCGGAAAATAAACAAAGAATTATCACACCTTCTATGAGTAAACCCAATAGAAAGAACATAATTAGCAAAACGCTTATACCAAGCACAGGGTGCCTACTTAAGCCCATATAATGATTTCCGCAAAAGACACACATAATCAGGATGGTCATGATCCCTATACCCCAAAGGTTGATGCATATAAACCGTCTCCTGTAACTCACCATGAAAAAAGGTATTTTTGACATCCAATTGATGAATTGGCCATGTCTTAGAGAGAGAGAGAGAGAGAGAGAGAGAGAGAGAGAGAGAGAGAGAGAGAGAGAGAGAGAGAGAGAGAGACTAAGAATCGTGTGGATCGTTGTCGGTTTCACCACCGGACTAAATGTCTCACCACAATCCATGCAACCCGCTGAGTCTTTTCATCACCTACAAGACGGGCTTTATGCCTCTCAAACACACCATTAGACTTGACTTTATTAGTAAAAATCCACATAGAACGAATCACATTCACATTCACATTCGGTGCACCAACTCCCACTTCTTATTTTTAATAATAGCATTAAATTCATCATCCATGGCTAATTTCCAATTCGGGTCACGAAGAGCCTCAATCGGAGTACGAGGTAAAGGAGACCTCGATACCGTAGCATGCATAGAATATTTTTTATTAGGCTTGAATATGCCCTGCTGACTACGTGTAACAATGGAGGATTTTTGTGGTGGAATGTGTGTTGGATTAGAAATAGGTGGGCTGGAGTGTGTTAAAGGAGATGGATTAGAACGTAGGAGAGGTGGGTTTGGGCCAGCAGAAGTGGCGAACGGCCCAGCTGATGTAGGCTCGGCCTGTGAGGGTGAAGAAGGTGGGGAGCTTGTTTGCGATGGAGTAGGCGGGTCAGTTTGATGTGGAGTTTGGGCCATTTGTGAGGGAAGAGTTTGGGCCGATTGTGAGGGAGGAGTGTAGAGTCTAAGAGATGTTGCATCACATATGGCGAAAAACCATCATCAAGAAAATCATAGTCATGGAAAGTAGGGGTATTAATCTTTGCAAAAGGGAACATGGTCTCATCAAATAAAACATGGCGCCAAATAATAATTTTATTGGATGACATATCATAGCACTTATAGCCCCTATGATTAGTAGGATACCCCAAGAAAACACAAGGTGTAGACCGAGGTTGCAATTTATTAATAGTAGTAGAGGGTATGAGGGGGTAACACAAACATCCAAAAACCCGGAGATGAGAATATGACAGAACCCTTTGGTAAAGAACCTCTAAAGGAGACTTCTGACCCAACAACTTACTCGAAAGAATATTAAGAAGATAGGTTGCTATTTGAAGAGCATGATGCCAAAAGGAGGGAAGGAGGGAACCATGAGCTAGAAGAGTTCGGGAGACATTATTTATAGTCCGAATTTTTCGTTTGGCTTTCCCGTTTTGTGGTGAGGTATGGGGACAAGACAGACGGAAAGACATGCCATTAGCTTCGCAAAAATTCCAAAATGGACCATTATCAAATTCCCTACCATTATCACATTGCACATTTTTGATATTGCGTTCAAATTGGGTGAGAATATGAGATTTAAAAGCTAGGAAAGTGTCATACACATCTGATTTTCAAGCTATTGGAAAAGTCCACAAATAATTTGAAAAATCATCCAATAACACAATATAATAACGATGTCCCAAAGAACTTAAAACGGGAGAGGACCACAAATCACTATGTATAATATCAAAAAGGCATCATAGTAGTAGAAAGAGAAGAAGCAAAAGGCAATTTAATAAGTTTTTCGAGTACACAAGAGCCACAAAGGCTAGAACTAGAAAGTCTATTACAATCAATGCTTTTATTATGCCTAAGAACATCTAAGATAGGTGCCCCCGGATGACCCAACCGATCATGCCATAGCTTAGGTGAAAAGATAGCAAAAGTAGATGGTGAAGCTTGATTGTTGAGGGAGGAAGTAATAGGATAAAGATCGCCCCGACTATCACATCTCATTATTGACATCCCCGTCCGAAGGTCCTTCACAGAAAACCCAAAAGGATCAAACTCAACAGTCACAGAATTATCAGTAGTGAATTTTCGAACAAAAATTAGATTTATAATGAGTTTGGGAGCATAAAGGAAATTTTTAAGAGATAGGGGAGGATTCGGGGAGGGCAAAGAAGAGTGACCATAACCTACAATGGGAATCGTATGACCACTACCAACAACAATGCCATTATTCAGATGATTGCTCAAATTAAAATAAGACGAGAAAATACCTGGAGTGGATGTCATATGAGACGTGGCTCCAGTATCCATATACCATGACGGATCGGGCAGATTGAGAGTCATTGTGTGCATCGCAGCTTGAATATTAGTTGGAGTGTTGTATGTGGACTGCTCAAGCGGTGAGGCCGCATAAGCTTGGTGCTGCGGTCTGGGCCCCAAAATCCTACCTACCCGGTTTTGTGATTGAGGCCTAGCCTATCCTTGTGCTGGGTATGGACATGGTGGGATGGGCCAGCCTTGGTTCATCCACCCCCAAGGTGGATACGGGCTGTTCTGCCAAAACCTGCTGCTGCACTTGGTGTTGCTATTGTTCGGAAGAGCTGCGGCCACCACCATTCTAGCCACTGCCAGAACTATTTTTCCAGCCACCACTTGGACCACGATTTCCGCCACCTGAATGGTTCATGTGACCTTCGTTATTCTGTCGATTTCCAGAATTTTTCCCTTTCGGATTTCCACCTGAATTTTCATCAAGAAAATCATCATGGGAGGTAGCTAACATCACCGACTCTGTGGCCGCCTCCTTAGTCATGCCTGCCTCCTCTAACGTCGACATAGATCGATCCTTGTAAAAGAGGGGAAGAGGATTGCTTTGTCAGTTCAACGTGCCTACACCTCGGTAAGCTTTGGTGAGACCACCAACCATCTGCAAAACCATTCGATTATCGGACACCGGTGCCCTAACATTCTTCAATTGGTCAGCCAAAGACTTAAGACGCTGATAATATGCAGAAGCATTAGGAAAATTGGCCATAGAAGTGGTAAAAATTTCTGTTTAAGAGTAACAACACGAGAATGTTGGTTATCTTGGAATATGTCACGCAATCTATCCCAAGCCTCCATAGCCTTAGCATCAGACTCCATGATGGTGTGCAACAAGTCACTCGAAATGGTAGCATAAATCCATGAGAGAACCGCGGCATCGAGAGTCGACCATAGCTCCTTCTCTTAGTCAGTAGAAGGAAATTTCCTTGTGCTCTTCTTGGGAGGGATGATATGGTCAAGGACCTTGTGAGATCGGGCGTGAACCTTGAATAATTCTGCCCACGTAGAGTAAAGGACGTTTTCCAGTTCAAGAGTGATTGGATCGGAATAACCTTCGATTTTGTGACAGCCAGGGCTGGATGATAGGAAGACTTGTTCTCAGCCATGGCAGGGGAAGAAAAGAGCTGAAGAAGGAGAGAAAGAGAGTGCGTGGGCAGGAAGACGAAGACTAGGGGAGCGAAAGCAAAGAAACCTTAGACGCTGATACCATGAAAGAATATTTTGGTTACCTTTTCCCATTCATTCAATAGCAATATATACATCAGAGTTTACATAACCGTAGGCTATAAATTAAGGAAGGATAATTACACTTAACAAATATACAATAACACAATATATCTACAATATATTTAACAAAGCTAACTTGAGCCACGTGTTGTCTAAAACCTACACCTATTCTTGTAAAAGATTATTTATCAATAAGTTTGAAAGGGAAAATATATGTTACAAAATAAAGTTAGTAGTATAATGAAAACTCATGTATCGTCTAAGACCTACACTGCTACACGCCTACACATAATCTTGTAAAAGAATTCCTTGTTGGTGTTATATTGGATGTAGGTGGCTCGTAAAGATGTTGGGTGCCTGAGCTGGTGTTGTGTTTTGTTGGTTGTTGTGAATGACAATGAGGGAAATGACAGGCTAAAGTCGTATCACCTAATCAAAAGTAATTCCTAAAACCACTAACTAAAATAGATAGGGAAGTAGGGTCGAATCCTGATAGGGTAAAGTCGTATCCCCAAATCAAAAGTAATTCCTAAATCCTTTAACTAATGTAGATAGGGAAGTAGGGTCGAATCCACAGAGAAACGGATCTTTCTATTCCTAACTATTATAATCTAGATTATGAGGTAACCAATATTTATATTTGAATAATAAACTAAACTACGGAGATCAAGAATAAGGAGAAAATAATATATAAAAGGATCTAGGGCATAGGTTCACCAATAAATAATATTCCAGGGTTGAATATAATAATCATTCATTAATGCAATAATTAATCAGATCATAAAGGGCTTTTGCTACGTATTACAATCACACAATTAATTTACCGGTATTAAATCTCATCTTTCGAATCTTGACTTAACCATTTATAAATGAACCTGCCAATTGAAACTAGACCTAAACATCAATTCTCATCTGTCGAATCTCGAATTAATATTGTCAAACTCATGCATAAAAGATCAGGCCTAATCTAGTCACAGAGCATTAAACCAATCAATAGGAAATTAATCTAGCATTGATAATTAACAACAATAAATTACCCCTTCATATTATTTATGGATCCCCATAAACCCTAGAAAGAAAACTACTCACACATAATAGAAACTAAACTAATCAAAGCAATAAAGCAAGACATGATTAAAGGAATAAAATAAACAACTAAGATTAAGGGAAGAGAAATCGTTACCAAAATAAATCTGGAATTAAGAGTAGATTAAGAACAAAGGTATTTGAGAGAGAAAATCTAAGAAAACAATTAAGAGAGTAAGGAAAGAGTAAAAAAGAGAGAGGTCTTAAAATCGTAATACGGAGGAGTATTTATACTCCGTACAAATCCTAAACTAAAACAAACTTAAACGACGAAATTAACCCCTAATACCTGCCTGATCGGGCGAGGCACCGCCCGATCGGGCGCGCCTTTTTGCTTTTCAGGTAGACTCTCGCGCCTGGCCGGGCGCGTCACC